GGTTGTGATTTATTGTAATAATTTTCTCCATAAATGTTTATTCTGCTAAATGTTTGCAAATATTATTATTATTATTATTATTAGTAGTAGTAGTATTCATAAGACATAATTAAGATAATAGTAGCATTTATCGCTAGTATTTTTTAGTTTTTTTAAAAAAAATATATATTAATGCAATCTTGCACCTTAACGAGTGACTCTTTAACCAGACGGAAGTTCTGAAATTCTGGGGTGGCTTATCTTGGAATGTAATTATTTTTATTGGGGGTTTGTTTTAATATCCACGTTATACAGTTTGTTCTTATTTTGTTCTGTTTTGAGAGAAAAAAAAACAGCTGATAAAAAACAGTTGACAAAAAAAGATATATCTTCTGCAAATTAAAGATATGAAAGCCTTTTCACACCCAGTAGGTTGATAACAGCTGTTGCAGAGTGAAAGAAAGAGTAGTTTGCTTTTCAAGATAAGATCGCTGATGGATAAGTCCGTCTATGGAAAGAGACCACCGGAATTCATAGTCAGGGTCCAAAGGTACAGTATCATACAATGGCTGAAGGCTGTTTATTTTAGCACCTAAGCACATACCGCACAAAAACGTTTACTATTGAGGCACGGGGTGCGCATACAGATCTCAAAAAGATCTTTGTACTCTGAAAAACAATAACTTGGAACTGCTTTTCCTCTTTCTTGCAGCTCTGCGACAGTAGTGGAACTATAATTTCATTTTATTTGAAAACATGGTAGTGCCCCGCGTGAACATGAGGAGGTTTTAGTTTTGTGTAGAAAACTGAAGTGCATTAATCATTGTGTGTGTCGTTCTGAGTTTTGAAGTACAATACTGTACAAATCACACTAACTGGAGCGACAGTAAGTCCGCATGAATGGGCTTTCCCCTCCTTAAAAGTTGCATAGGACTTCACGTCTTATATTTAATTTATATGTATATTTTTATATTTAGTTTTATATATGACGATGATGATATAAATAAATATGGCTAAGTGGGATAAAGACTAATATTTATATTTTTTACATTAAGCTTTGCTTAATATGCTTATATTTT